TGATTATTTCCGTATAGCTATTTCGAATTACCAATGAAATAGTACAAAAATCATTCAGTTTTCAATAAACAATTCATTTTCTAGTAGATTTCTTTATTTTCATTTTTGTAATTCCATTTTTTACGCACATGACTTTTGAATTTGTACAGTTCTGTATATATAATCACTTAGATCATGACCAATATTTATTTAGGAATGCTAATATATGCAGAATAATTAATTTAATGGATTCATGTAAATCACTTTGTTAAAAGAATAATATTTATCGGGTCAACAATTACATGTTATTGATTAGTTAAAAAGTTGATTAGTTACTAAGCCATTATTTTACACAAAGACTAGTATATATATATATATATATATATATATATATATATATATATATATATATATATATATATATAACTTTCCAAAACTTGAACAATGAATATATTCATGTAAAAAGATCAATAAATTAGTAAACATATTTTGTTAGCCTTTGTTGTTAATAGTAAAGCTGAAGTAGATCACAGTCAATATTTCATAGTTTCATGACTATAGTATAATTATTTTATATTTCATGTTAGTTTTAGTTAAGATAATTCTTCATATATCTAAGACACTTCATTTGACCTTCTGGATAAATGAGGCAAACAAATCTATTCTTTAACTACTTGTGAGGTGGTGGAGAAGATTTGTAGCTCACGTGGATGATTTGGGTGGTTTTCGTCCTCTGAGCTGGATGGTTTGGTCGTGGAGCTTTCATCGTTCTTCTGAACGACATCATCATCACAAACTTCAGATAGAAGTGAAGTGTTCGAATTTCTCCATATGTGTTTCACAGCTTGTTCTGTGCACCTCGATGTCGATTAGTTCTTATTGACTTTAAATTTATCATTGTTTACTTCTTTGGGGAGACTTCTTTTGGGAGACACAACCAAAACAAAGAAGTAAACAATGATAAATTTAAAGTCAAGAAGAGTCAATCAACATCGAGGTGTACAGAACAAGCTGTGAAACACATATGTAGAAATTCGAACACTTAACTTCTATCTGAAGTTTGTGATGATGATGTCGTTCAGAAGAACAATGAAAGCTCCAAGACCGAACCATCCAGCTCAGAGTACAAAACTCCACCAAAATTTAACTACTTGTGTTTTGAATGTATTATACTGTGAGATTTTAGGAATTATTATCATTTCTAGAATAAGAAAGAATGATAAAATTTTCATTTTTAGCTGTTATTTCTTATTAGTTTATTAAAGAAACTAAATACAATTGAAAATTTCACTAGTGTTTCATTTTACAAAGAGGAGATCAGTCAGCTATCTTCTTTAGTTATATGGCGAATCGAAATATACAGGAGGCCTGAGTGAATAAGACAATAACTCAGTTTTTATAGCTTCTTTGTAGTCATTATATTAATAAGTCTTGATAAAAGTTCGATTTAATACAATCAGTGGCGTTTGATCAAAAGTTGTTAGCGAAGATGAAGTGAAGATATTACATGGAATAGTGATATAGAGACTACAGTTATTTTAAAGTGAAAATAGATGAAAGAGCCAAAATATGTTGGTAATTATGTTGACATCACTAAAATAATATGTTTACATAACCATATCATTCAGTAGTTAGTTTAGTCGCCTTGTATTCAAATAGAAACGTGAATCCGTGGTCATTAATGTCTTTTATTCAAAATCACAATCGTAACAGGAAAAACAAAGTCTATGCTTTATTAGACAATCAAACTTGATACAAGCTGTTTCGTCATACACCGTCCACATTCAACATAAACAGAAGTTATTAGAATATTCAAATAAAGGTAGTTGAATATTTTCCTGAATTTTTATAAAAAACAAACACATTCTAATGAACAGATAATAAATACCCATTCTTTTTTATTGATAAACGTAAAGCAGAATTGATTCATAAAACCTATTTAAAGACAATCTTTATAGTGTTTTATGGAAGTGATCAAGGTTGAATGCACAAATTTATCAGAATCTTAACCATATACATATTCAAAAAAAGTTTGTACATACAACAAACCTACCATAATTATAGTGACTGACATTTTTAATATCAAAGGTGATCTGAGTTGTTCTATTTTATCTTATTATCCTTTACTTTATCTAATAGTTTTGATTGTTGTATTTATCATATAAATCTATTTTAATAAAAATAGCGTATGATTAAATCGTTCTAAATTTAATGTACCAAAATATTGGATGGTTATGACAAACATTATCTTCTCATTAACTCACTTTAATTTATCATTCTTGTAATTGATATTACTAATGGTGGAATAATATACAAGAATTTATATCTTATTGACAAACATTCAGAAATTACGCAATAGGTAATAAAAAATTAATAATATCGACAGTGATCAGGAAATGATTAACATTAGAGAGTTAACGAATAGGTTCTGGACTTACAATTCTGAGAATATTGTACAGCATGATTTATCTTGTGCTGGGAACTGTAATTATTTCAGTACTAAGCCAGCCTAAATAAATATGAATCATATCATATAAATAATTGCAAAGTTTATTTTTAACCATAAAATGTTAGATGCTCTAAACCATTGTGTTAGATGAATAATGTTATCAGTTGAAGAGCAAAAAAACTGCTAACTATATCAAACGTGTTATTCTTTAAAGTGACTGATAATATCTCTATGGTAATGATAACTGATTAGCTATTCAGATCTTGACATAAAACAAAAAGTTATAGGACTATTTAAAAAAGTATATACAAGAAAGAGATATCGATGAAGTAGTACCTAAATTAAGACAGTTTTTGTTTTGGTAGATAAAAATCTTGCTGAAATACTCTGTGAGATTCGGAATATTGTGTTCAGACGACAAAATCAAAGAATCATTTAAATGCATATCTAAAAATGTTTTTAGGAAATACAAAGAAAAGTAATCTGGTAAGCATAAACAAAAACTCTATTTTCTATTTTATTTGGATAAGATTTTGCCAAGAATTTATAGAAGAATTAGGAGGGGCACAAAAAAAACGCATTCTTCTTCAGCTCAACTGGTTTCAGCATACATTAAGGAATGCTTATTAGACTATTCAAAAGTTGATTATAACTCTATTGATACCACCGTCAACTGTATTATTGGGCTTAAATTTACTTGTGGTAAAAGATTTATAAAAAGAGTTAGGAAAAGGACTTCTACAAGATTTCAGGGATTAGTACTCCCAAGTCTTTACTTGAATGGAAGTATAATCTTCAAAACTGAAGCTGCTGAAAGTTCAAATTTGTTGAATGACAATCTTACCTTTATTTGTAGCCTTAAAATTGAATGAATGCGTTTTTAATTCTGTAAGTCTTATCATTCCTATGTTGTTCAAAATTATTGTCTTGTCTTTTATTCACCATTATTTGCGAAGTTAAAATACGATGAAATCTTTCAAAATAAATGGAACTTCAAGATTATGGGGTCTCTGAATTAATTTTGATATTACGTTACCGAAGGTATCAAGAAATTTGAAAAGATTGATGATCCATTCGAATATTTTGTTTCTAGAAAGAATTTGTGATATAATTAATTCATAATGTAAGAGGTGGTTGTTAGATTAGTATTATTATTGTTCTTTAAATAGTGAGTTAAAATATCAGATACACTAAGGTATTGCTTACTGAAATGCCGTTTTTATCAAATTTCAGCTTAAGTCATTTAACGCATAGTTCTAATAGAATGATTTGTGTTGAAGCTACACGATGATTCCCGCCTTATTTTTTGATGCATCAGAGATTCTTATGTCATACCTGAAACATAGAGTTTCCTTGCTGGTAAATCTGTTTATGTATCTTTTTATTTTAATTGTGTTGTTCTACATATCTAAGTTCATAGTCGACTGTATAGGATTTAAATGGATACTCATTTTCAAGAAGTTGGGATCTCACTTCATTGGTTTCCCAAATCAATTAAATTAATGTAAGTATTGTAATTAATTAGCTGACAACATTAACCAATACATTTATCATTCAGAAATTAGTTTATCTGGACTTTGTATAACGTTTTTGATACTCAAAATTGTAAGAATTTAATCTAGACATACGTAAATGCACAAAAGTATAACACTGACGTTTTTTTCAATGTGACTTATTCATCAACAATAATTAGTATTTCATCGTGTACACCACAATATTCTCAGTGCATGAATAAACGGAAATCTGAACATTATTCTGAAGCTTCATGATAATTCTGTTTTGGTAACGTGTCAGTCAATGACTAAAACAACTGAAAACGACGCTGTCTTCAAGCTTTGAATGCTGATGAAATATATGTTTGATATTATGATTGAAGAGCAGGAAGCACTGGACTGACGTTTCGTCTTATTGTGGGACTTCTCAACAGTGCATATCCATGATTCCGCCTCACGAAGTTCGAACTCAGAACCTATCCGTCTCGAGGATGAACGCTTAACCTCTAGTCCACTGAGCTGACCGGCATCCAATGGTGTTAATGTCTCACTTTAACTAATCCACGTAATTGGGCGATACATCTACCATTGTCATCAGTTAGCTTCTATCTCACAACCGACCCGATTGAATTCCACTGATCATTGCTTCTCACTAGAACTCCAGGAAATACCTCTTTAAATAAATCACTAGTGAACATATGTTGATTAGTATCAGAAGGGATTTTGTGGATATTATAGTAATTTAATAATTGAATTCCTTAGTCGATTGAATCGTGGATAAGCACAGCTGAGGCATCCCATACTAAGACGAAGCGGCCGTTCAGTGCTCCCAGGTTTTCCATGGAGGTCTAGCTTCAAGTGACTCATGATCTCAACTATTGAAATATATATATATATATATATATATATATATATATGTCACAACTGTTATTTATGTTTCTCACTAGTAAATTAAGTTAACATCTCTAATAAGTTAAGCTAATTATTATCATATAATAAAACTTTCCTTATATGAACCATTCTTCATAGAAAATTACTTACTAACATAAAACATTTCAATAGTTATTCTTATTAAATTTGCCTTAGCAACATATAGAATAGTTGATCTCAATTTTATTATTACAACTCATTAACGATAAATATGGATTACAGCTCAGTAGTTGTTTTTTTCTTATAAGAAAATAGCATAACACTTAAAAGTAAATAAATGTTTATAAAATAAAACATGAACAAATCAATATTCCATTGATTATATTGGAAAATCAAATAATTCATTAAAACCTTTTCTAATCCTTAATAGATCATTGATTATGAATGTATATATATTAGTCGATTTCATGTGCAGAATATAGATAAACTGAACCATTATCATCTAATATATTTCCTTGTATAGGATCATAACGTACATGTTTAATATCAACTTCCCATGATTTGATATTATTATTCTCAATATAATAAGAATCTGTTTGACATAATTTATTTTTTATTTTTTTATTTTCTTCTTTTTCTTTTTTTATATGATGTTCTTTTCGATGTTTATTATGATTATGATTATGATTATTATTTGAAGTACTTGGAATTGCTTCAATTATTCTTTTATCATTATATAAATCATGATCATTTATATTATTATACGTATTCAGTATTGATTTATGCTCATTATAATGATGATTTGATTGTGGATTATTATAATCAATTTCTAATATACCATTCGATTTATCAATAATCTTTTCATTCAATTGATTAAATGTAGTATTTCTTAATGAATTCAATCCAATTACATGATTTGTCATTGAAATCATTGGATTTTTATCAATTAAACCTTTTCTATTTAATGCTTTATTCTTTAATGGTATTAATTGTAATTTATTATTGGTTATTAATTTTCTTTTATATAATTGATAAGGATAATAATCGATTTGTTTATTGAATGTATATTTCCATATTAATAATTGTGTATCAATTAATTGAATTAATTTATCAATATCAGTAATATTTTTTGTTGTTATAATTAAAAATTGTTTTTCAATATAATCATCATCATATAAACCAATAGCTAATTGTAATTTATGTTGATTAAATAGAATAATTTTTTGTATTGTTTTATATTGAATTATATTTTCATAACGATATGGCCACCATGAACCATTTTTTAATATTAATGATGTATAAGTTAATATTAATTTTGTTTTAATACATTTTTTTGGTTGTTTCCATGGTTTATTATAATACTGTTCATAACGATATTGTAATATTGGTAATGAATAATCATCATGTATATATAATTCAATATAATTTTCTATATGTATTGTGATACATAATAATGGTGTAATTGTATTCAATGATTGTTTATTCATTATTATTATTATTATTGTTATTATTATTAATGTAATTAAATGATCATTTAAAGAATATAATCTATTTGTATATATTTATATACTTATATTACATTTCAATGATAAAAGTAGGATGTTTATTTGAGTTAGAGTCTTTTTTTTATTTTTTTTTAAAATGGAGTATAATTTATCAAAAAATCTAAATTGTATATGTGACTTGTTGTTATGCTCAAAGTTTCTTATAATTAAATGAATATTATAGTCATTTTTCATAACATTCTATATGGAATAAACCATGTATATGAATGAATTGATCAATATGCATAAATATTGATATCATAGTTTAGAGAGAAACGTTTGTTTTATTTTGATTTTGATTTTTTTTTTAAATTTTGGATTCATCTTAACAACCAATCAGATTAATATAGTGTAAACTGTTTTGTGAATACTTGAAATAATTCAAGAGAGAATAAAAATAATAATATGTGTAACCAATGATTCGATTTGAATCGATTAGTAGTTAATGTTAGATAACAGAGAGAGAGAGAGAGTTGTAATGAAAAGTGAATAGACGCCAAGTCTATTGTAAAATATATGTATTGATGTATATTTCCTTGGTTATTTATTCAAAGAGAAAATAAAGTATCGTCAATCATCCAACGATTGATTAGTTGATTGATTAGTTAAGAAAACGATTTGTATTTTTCATGTAACGTAAATATATGTACTTTTTAAAAATAACGAACATTTCAAAGATTTGACTACAGACGGTCACTATGTTGAGATAAGATGGTGGTTGAAGGTAGTCAACAGGAAACCCTGTACCTAGATTTCGTGCTACTTGGCACGTGTCAGCAAGATATACCTGTAATCCTTAGGGAACTAATGCTCTATGACGGATTTTATACTGTGTCACACGGCTTCGCAGTCGGCAACGTTACCATTGAGCTATCCGGACCGCGACTGACCTCCTGTAGGACTGAGATATATTTACAATTGACTGATAACTGGGTGGTGACCACTTTCATGTATGTCAGGTTCTTCTTAGTGCAGATCGATTCCTATCAACCAAGTCGCAATTCGGCCAAGAAACCTAGGTCCAGGATTTCCTGTTGGCCACCTCCAACCATCATCTTATCTCAACATAGTGCACGCAATGTCGAGTCACTTATTCTGGTTGTCACATTTCGACGTGGTCGATAGGATTCGATCTTCACTAAGAAAGAGCTGACATATATGACATTGATCATCACCCAGTGATCAATCAATTGTATAGACGTTCATATTAACTGAACAAAAATTTTAATTTAATTCGAAGAAATTTATTTTTTGCAAAAACTAACACATATTCTAGGTTAATTGGTTTTTCTCACATGCCTAATTGATTCTTAAGGAGAAATTCCTTTCGATCTTGAAAATGATATTACTATAAAATGGTATCATCTAAAAAAATAATGATAACCGGATAACAGTTTTTGGTCTGACTTAAGAGCTTTTTATTTTTATATGCCCACTATCAAAAACTGGATGGAAATAAGCTTGGTAACATATAAAATATTTCTGCCAAATTATCTACTGTAATAATGGTTGTTTAGCCAATATTGACAGAAGTTGAGAAAAGGTGTATTGAGAAATCATTTTTAGTGGGTTCAGTTCAAGCACAGATAAGTTGATAATATACTGATAGTTTTGGATGAAGACTGTAAAATTTTTCAGGTTGAATGAGTTTGAAACGGTGGAATATTGGGATTATGAATGATCAGTGTAAGAATATCGAGCATATTAAAAAATCTGTATATCATGGGTGCGACTGTATGTGGAAGTGCAAATGATTACTGGTGTGGCGCCCCAGATGTGCCTACAAATTATTCTTCTACACTTTTAGATTACACCTATTTGCAACCCAGTTGACATTATTTACTATTTCTCTTTTATCTGAAAACTATGAATTCAGCAAAAAACTATCTGGCATTTAACTATAAGTTTACATAACTATTGTACTTAATCTTTCAGCTCTACATATTAAGCGTGGATACCAGTTCTTACATGCTCGTAGCCAACAAAATTAATTTCTGGAATATTAGCAGGTTTTATATGGAACAATCTTCAGGAATTTTCGTCAAGCAGTGATGGTATAAATAACAAGCTTTTATGTGGTATGAATAGATGAATTATGATTTTTTTCTCTTAAAAATACCCCCTCCATATATAGAAATATATAGCATCTTATGAAAGAACCAATGTCGAGTGTATCTTTAACCTGCACAACTGTGATTTTGCAAATTATAGGCTTGTTCAAATGCTTTCTTGAATAATAATACCCTTTACTACCACCATCACACATAAAAAATTTTGAATCCACTGTCCATTTCATCAAATACCATATTTCTGATTAATTCAGTGAATACATCATTCAGAATAACAGCGAAATAACGATATAACGTTATTAAGCCAACTTTCTTTCTGATCATTTGACCGACTGGTAGATTTGTGAATAACTCATTTATAATTTTATTGTTAACATGATATCCATTTATACAACACTATTTATTTAGTTGTATTTTCTTTATTGAATAAACATATTCCACAGCTGAAAAGATAAAAGTCATAATAATAATGGTATACAAAGGACTTGAACGACTGAGTCAAATTTTGTTTCCCTTTTCATGAGGAAACGAAAGTAGATAACATACTTATATTCAGACATAAAAAATTAGACGAGTAGTGAAATTTCAACTGTTTACATAATATCAGTTACCAAAGATCAGATTACACTTGTTGCGTAAACAAGCACAAAACAACTCAGTTTTTAACAGAGTAGTGCAAATACAAAACTAATCTTATATCAGTATAGGGTTGTGCGGATTGTTGAGTTTTTGATTGAATCGGCCAATGATAGATCATCATAAAAAACCTGGATGCACTGGACGGCCGTACATTTCTAGTATGGAACTCTTCAGCAGTGCACATCCACAGTCCTCCACGCGGAACTCCAACCCAGGGCCTTCGGTCTTGCGCTCGAACGCTTAACCTCTAGAACGCTGAGCCGGCATTCAGCGGTGTTAATGTTTAATTTCAATCCCTCCACGATATTGAGCGACTGTCCACCATTGTCTTCAATGAGTAACTGCCTCACGATAGACAAGGTTGCACTCCACTTCGTTGGGTGCGCCGGCACAGTGGTTTAGAATTTGAGCGGTCGAGAACAAGACTGAAGGTTCTGGGTTCGAGTCCCATGTGGGGGATCATGAACGCGCACTGCTGAAGTGTCACACACTAGAACGAAACAGCCGTCCAGTACCCAAAATAGTTGCCCACCAATTATGTTATCCCAGGACTTTATCTGAGAATAAACATAGAAAAAAATCCCATTGGATCGACTAAAACAGTTCGTAATTTCAGTAATAACAAAGAAGTTTTGAATTTTTGAAATACTCTTTAACAATGAAATGGAATCAAATTTATTAATGTTGTCTCAGGTTTAAGTGAAACTGTTTAATAATGACTAATGAGGATAACCTGAAATGTTATATGGTATACTCTTTGACAGTGTAATGGTTTAGAGGTACTTTTATGACTAGGGTTTTTACTACTAAATAAAAATGGTTCTTTGAGATCTATACTTGTCATGATCTTTGATCTCATATTATCCTGTAGTTATACTAAATGTATGTCTCTATATTCACTTGAAGAGTTCAATACGATCATTTTATATATTTTACTTATTAAAAAAAACAAATGTCGTTTATAAACTGGGCTAACCGTAATATTAATTTATATCTAAAACATTGTACTATTTAAAAGTAGTTTGAAGGTTTATATTGGTTTTGAAATCCGAACTTGTTTTAAAGAAGAATGGAATATCTTATAGGCTATATATTTTCATTCTACAAGGAAATACTATGCATGTTTTCGTGCTGACACTTTGTAAGTAGAAAGGTATCTAACACTGAATAGTCGTTTCGTTCTTGTTTGAATCTTCTTGTTATTGGTCAACTATAGCTTTTAAGTGCTGGGATGATTATCATAGCTTTAGATTAGGTTCATACTTCCATTTGAAATGAATTGGCGATGCACTGAGCTTTTATTGTAGCAGTTTTGTGATAAAAATCATTTGCGGCGATTTCAGGCTTTATTTAGAAGTTGTCATACTTTTGAACTTAAAAACTGTATAACCACGTTACATAGTTTATTATCCTATTACCATCATTAACACTGTTATGTATATTTATATAATGTTCTCGATAGGTGTTTATTCTATTCATTTGCATTATTTGATAGCGGACAAAGTTAAACAGCAAAGTGTCTTTCCGTCAATAAACTCTTTGTTTAACTAATAACAAAACCATAAATAGTGATAATTTACTGTAGTAAAACGCAATATTATGTTCTTTGTTTAGTATTTCGAATTTGGTTGACTCTAATTCTATTCATAAAGTTTGAATTTTCCTATGCTCATTTCATAAAGCTTGGAAATCAGAAATGTGTCCAAAGAGTTTTAATGTATAAAGATAAACATATTGTATATCTAGTATCACAATGTTATGACTTGTGGCCTTGTGTCCAATTATTATATAACGTAATGATACCGCCAATTAGAGAACAGTGGTTTATCGACCGGATCAATGACGCACAAATCCGTACAAGCAATCCTAGAGTATTTATCGATCATTCTTCCTGCCTAGCCTTCCGGCCTCTCAAGTTCAGAACACTAATCTCAGCCTCCACGATATAAATCATATATTCCAAACATACTGCGTTTATATACAAACCAAACAGACCACATCGCATCACAAAACAGGAAACAACATTTGTACAAAATCTAGCCCAAAGTGGCTATGAATGTGAGAGACTGTAATTAATAGACTGAGTATAATTCAAAAACGGTAAATCGTATAATAATAGTCTATTGGTCAAAATAAAGCTTACAATGAGAGGAACACGAATATGAATAGTTTAGTTACATAACAACTATACAATAAAAAATATATGTATAGTATTAGTCCAGAAATAGATTCAAATAGTTATCATTCATAATCCTCGTCGGGATATAACATACATCCTTATCTGTATATAAACTAAATTAATCATTTATACTCACAATAAAATAACTGTGAATTATTACTATTGATGTTAAACACTTAGATCATATGATCCATAAAGTGTTTGCACTCTAACGAAAATTATTTTAAAAAATGATACTATTTATTTCCTGTTCACACATTATATAAAATAAAACTAACTAATTATAAAGGTGATCTGTACTTTTAAAATGAAAAAAGGAATATTATTTTCAACTGCATTCTTTTTTCTTCTTCTAAGAA